TTATTTTTGTTCCAAATTCCGGAATTTGTAAGGTCCTAAATATTTTGGTTTAACCTTTAATCCTGACCCAAATTGTGTACGCTTAATTGCGACAAGATCACCTGGTTTATATTCTTTTGCCCTTGTTCTATTTTTATTAAATTCTCTTTTTAAACATTTCTTATTTGTTCTCTCTCTTGATCAAGTTCAACTAGAGTTTCCTCTTCAATAATATGTCGAATATTGTCGAGATTCTTTACTTTCATGTCTGGTTCGGTTAGTATTTTAAATGGAGAAAATTTTGTACTTCTTGAGGGAGTATTGTTTATGCACTGATGGACTCTATCAACATGCTTGTACCAGTTTTGGAGATTTTCTGTGAACAGTTTTGATAACACTGTTATGACAATCCTATTTATTATCTCAACTTGCCCATTTCGTCGCGGTACCCCAGTTGCTATCAAAAGATGTTGTATATTTTCCTCCTGACAATAAGCTTTAAATGAATTTGAAGTGAATGCTGTACCTCGGTCAGTTATCATCCTTTCTGGGTTTCCGAATACTGATGATTGACGATAACCAAACAAATTTCGAAAACGCGTCCACCACAACCAATAAATAGTTATATTTTTTCTTTCTTAACTCCAAAGGACATATGCGGTCTATGTGGTTTGTCTTTAAAGGCAAATTGGATTTATCGATAGGATTCAAGAAACAATCAGATTTTCCTAGTTTTCCTTCATTCACAATACACTCTACACAATTGCGAACTACGCTATTTAGCTTTGGAGAGATGTCCTGAATGTAAAATTCTCGCTCAATTAACTCACGGGTCTTTTTTGGCTCCAAAATGTCCTTCTCTGTGTGCTATTTTAATAATACAGTCCTCCATTGCTGCCGGAATAACTATGAGCTCTTTATTAGGATCTTTGTAAAGAAGGTCATGTTTGATATAATAATCTTCATACCTATCTTTTTCAAGCACTTTCTTTATTGCTTTTAAACGATCATCATTCATTTGACCATTTTTAAGGCGATATTTGACTGAATCCTCTACTAATAAACATGAAACTCTACTCAGTGCATCCACATGCTTCATCTTATTCCCTGGACGATGTTCGATTGCAAAATCGAATTCCTGCAAAAACATTGCCCATCTAGACACTCTAAGAGGAACGTCCAATTTCTTCATAGTCATAGCGAATGCATTGCAATCCGTCACCAATTTGAACTTCATGCTTTCCATTTCTTTAGTGCCTCCACAATAGCTAAAACCTCTAGCTCATATGAATGATATTTTTGTTCGGCCTCAGAAGTTTTGCGACTCATATATTCTATTGGGTGTAGTTGCTGGTCATCCGAATCTTTTTGTAAGAGGATACCACCATAACCACACATACTAGCATCCGTGTGAACCTTAGTTATAGCTTTAGGTCTAAACAGATTTAAAACAGGGAAATTTACCAACTTAGATTTCAATTGTTCAAATGCAAGGAATTCTGGCTCTCCCATCCTAAAAGCTACATCCTTTTTCAACAGTTCTGTTAAAGGTGTAGCAATTAATGCATAATTGCACACAAATCTTCTAAAATACGAAGTTATGCCTAAAAACCACATACTAGCATCCGTGTGAACCTCAGTTATAGCTTTAGGTCTAAACAGATTTAAAACAGGGAAATTTACCAACTTAGATTTCAATTGTTCAAATGCAAGGAATTCTGGCTCTCCCATCCTAAAAGCTACATCCTTTTTCAACAGATCTGTTAAAGGCGTAGCAATTAATGCATAATTGCACACAAATCTTCTAAAATACGAAGTTATGCCTAAAAACCTCTCAAGAGATTTTCTGTCTCTGGGTATAGGAAACTTAACTATTGCAGATGTTTTCTCAGTTGAAGGTTTAATTGTGGAATCCTCAATTATGTAGCCCAAAAAGTTGACACGTTTACACAAAATCTGACATTTTTCCCATTTTATCTTTAAGTTGTGACTTTCTGCTATTTTAAGGACTGTTTTTAATTTCAAGCCCTTCTTCCTCTGTCATCGATGGTATAATAATATCGTCCATATACACGATTGCGATTCCAGCTTGGATCATCTCTCTAAAAATGGAAAACACGAATCGTGAAAATACTGCTGGTGCATTCGAGATTCCAAATGGTACATATAAAAACGAATGAAGTATATTTTCTTGAATTTTCTTCGAGAGACACATGAAAAAATCCGTTTTTTAAATCTAGAGTCGTATATATTTTCGCTGACTGTAGTTTATGTAAAATATCATCGATAAGCGCATAAGCATATGGAAATTATCTCTAATTATTTTTTCATTCAATTTCCATCTCTCTTTGGCACCGAAACAATGGGTGATGCATATTCGGAAAAACTTTGCTGAATTATTCCGTCATGCAGCCACTGTTCGATTTGCTCTTCTACAACATGTTGATCGCTGAGGGGAATTCTACGAGGTCTCTGAAAAACTGGTATATCATCGGATAAAATTATCTTCATTTTGGTTGGCGATGGCTGAATTCTCTTTGGTTCGTAACTATTTACTATTTCTCTTACTTTATGGCTATTTTCTTTACTCAAATGACCTAAATCAACATTTATCTCTTTCGACTTTAATGTAAAACAAAGAGATTCAAAATCATCTCCAAGTTCCGACAAAAACCCATCACTTCCTTCCCCCCTAACCTTATGCTTTTTCCTTAATGTTGCGCCATCTGACGTCATTTCTATATCAACATATTGTAAAATATCATTTCCAGGCGCTGCTGTGTAAACAAAATTGTTAGCAATAAAAAATTGAATCCTGAGGTCAATATTTTCTACATTCACATTTGCATAAAAAATCCCACCGTTACGAGGGTATAATCTCCAGCTGTTATGAACTTGCGCTCTTCTTTTGTAAATTCTAATATGTCCAATTTTTTGAAGATGACTGTGCGAATTATAGAAATATTGCTACCCGTATCAATTATAGCTGAAAAATTTATGCCTTTTATATTTAGTTCTTTAAAATTGCGATTATGAATCGGCAATTTTATTTTCTCATCTACATTTTTAACTTCTTGGATCATGCAAGAGTTCTCATTGTATGATTTTATTTCGTGTGGTTTATGTTTTTTACATGAATTTGCTTTATGACCTGATTCCCCACATTTAAAGCATATTATGCTATTACTCTTACAAACGTTTGCTGAATGACCTATTTCTCCACACTTGAAACACCTTTTTTGCATTTTTGCTTCACGAGATACATTTTCCTCTTTGAACTTCGGAGTAAACTTTGAGGTTGTTGCCTGGTAAGTTGAGCCCCTAATTTGTTCGTATACGTCCATTTTTTCTTTTGCAATAAATAAATTTTTGTATGCCATTCCAACCTAAAGTTTCTGCATTTTCTTCAAAGTCATCCAACCAATGGTTAATATTAATACTGTCTGTACCTGAAAATGGTGTAAATGAATCTTCTACATCTCTTAATGTAAAAAGACTTCTGCACTGTGCTGGCTTGGGTACATTACATGAAGCGGCGTCATCGTAGTCCGATTCTGAATTATAAGCAACAAGTTTGTAATGCTCTAACAGTCGTTGCTGTAAATCCGACCGATTTCCTTCTGATGTTAAGCTCAATGTTTCTAACTCGGTTTTAGGTCATTTACTGTCATACCTAATATTGTCTTTATGTCCATACTGAATATTGTAATGTTTAAATTTAAAATGTAAAAATATAATATGTATGTTTTAAAATTATTAAAAGGGAAATTCAATTTTCTTAAATATATAAACTCTTCAAAAGTAAGAATAAACTCTGAATAAATTAATATTTACACATACAGATATTAATATTTACACATACAATGACAGTAGTTCTCAAATTATATACATATGATTTTCAAACTTAAATATTTATTTCAACTTTAAAACTTTAACAATAAGAAATTTTAATAGAAATAGGGAATTCTCAAACTGTATTTGCAAAGCTAGTACTTAAAGGTTTGGGAGCCACTAAATGCAACTTTTAATTTTAAAGCATTAGTAAATTTTCAAACCAAATGCAATACTGATCATAGTTCCCAAACATTAAAACTTCTGTACTAAACTAAAACTTTTAGGGATATTTCACCTCAACTTTACAAAAAGCTTTAGAACTTTAGAACTTAACTCAAAAGATTAAATTTTTAAGAAATCGTTAAAGAATTTAAAATTGAACTTCATAACTTAACAGATACGCCATATTTTCCTCGTCTCGACAAATCGTTGAAAATTTAAAATGAAAGTTTAAAGCTGCTACCACGCCATATTCTCTCGCTTACTCTCTCGTTCTAACGCCTTGCACTTACGCCTTCCACTCTTTGTGCATGAAATAAGGGTTGTTTTCACTCACTGATTATTTTTGCTCTCTTGTGCTTGGGTGCGATTGCGTTGTTTCTGTGTGTATATTGAATGTATGTATGACTTAATGGTCATTAGAATTGTGTTATTGCCCTGTCGTCAACTGAGTAGATAACTACAAAAAAAACAACTTTAAGTTAGCTCCCAGCAGTCAAATGTAAAGCTAACTTCTACGCAATGCAAAATTTACATTAACCAAAGTGTAAACAAAAACCTTGGCATTCTTTTTTAGAAGTATTGAGAGAACCAAGCCAATTGAAAAACAAACGGCTCCAAAGCCCTCAATATATTTAATTTATTTAGGGTCATTGTTAAAATTTATGGAGTAGATGTATAAAATGGGTTATGGACAGGAGATAGTAACTCTAATTAAAAGAATAAATTCAATTTTTAGATTATTTTATGTTTATAACAATCACCATTTATATCGATTTTATAAATTAATATACGAAAGTATATAATAACTAACATACTAAAACTAAATATTGGTTTATTATTAACTTTTGTATTATTTTATTTAAATAATTTTTAATAATGTCGATAACTATCGGCTTCATGCAGATTAAATTAGCCAACGGCCACCGACGCCGCCCAATTTTTAATGCCGTCGTCTTTAGTTAACGTCTCAGACATTCAATTAGTAAACAAACCCGCGTGTCATCGTTCGCATAAAAATTTAATTGTTTGTTAAAACTTTCGAATGGTATAGTGTTTTCTTCGGAATTAAAATTGATTTAATGCTTTTGTGTGTGGTTGTTTTAAAATTTATTACAAAAAAATTATGAAAAGTTCAAGCAAGAGACATTTAAGGAGGCTTTTTAAAAAGAAAGAATATCTAGATGTCTCTCCCAGAAATTAGTCGCAAATCTCTTGGTTTAAAACCCATAGCTAAATGTAAGTAAATATTTTAGTATTTTTTTTTAATAAATTGCATTAATAAATTACATTACAGATCCCAATAAGGCGGAGGCATGCCAAAATTGTTTTAAGCAAATAAACAGTAAGTTGGAATAAACAAAAAACAAGTAAAAAAGCAGTAAAAGCCGGGCCGAACTTTTTATACCCTCCACCAATATGTGATTACAACAGACAGACGGACGTCGATAAATCGATTTACTATTTTTCACTGATCCAGAATATATATACTTCGTGGGGTCTAACATGAGTATTTCGGGGAGTTACAAACGGAATGACAAACTTAATATACCCTCAATAGTATGGTGGAGGGTATAATAACACTCAATAACCAATATATTTATGTACATATGTTTTTTATTCTCTTTCAGATACAACACAAAGTCTTCAAGGTAATTTCTTTTTAAAACCATTCAAATCCTTTAAAAAAACCCATTTTGATAATTTACATGACTATTATTTTTTATTCATAGAAACCATTACAACCCAAAACGATGTGATTATGAAAACTCTTTCTGAACATAAAGTGTTAACAGGAAGAATTTTATATCAGGAAGTGACTCAGAATAATTTGGACTTTACATTCCCTTTAGACTCTTTAAATGGCTTAAGCGATGAATTTATTAATTTTGGTTTTCAAAACCAAACATTTAATTTAAACTAGAAATATTTGATTTTTTTAAACCTACAAATGTACAAAATATTTATATAAGTTGTTTGTAATGTTGAAGTGATTTTTAATTTTCATTAGAATAAATTTTTGTGTTATTAAAATATACATTTTTAAACCCATTTTATTTTAGTTACAAATAGTGATTATAAAGCCAACGTGTAAACAACTAACTTTTAGTTGACTGAAATTTAAGTAACGTATAGTTAGTTAAAAAAAAAAACAACTTAAAGCTTATTTAAATAAGTTAGTTTATAGCTAGCTCCAATGAGTTAACTTTAAGTTAATGGCTGGGTAGTTAACTTAAAGTTAACTAAAAGTAATGCAGAGCAGGACAATTGACTACTCCCTAGGACATCGCCATGTTAAAATAGTTAGTTAATTGCATGTAACAGTAATCCAAGTGTCAACCACCACTACTTGAGAAATAGTTAGCTTTCAATTAATTTAAAGTTAACTGAGTTGACGACAGGGTGTGCACTCAAATATCTCTTGCTATATTGCAAGCACACACGCTTTTATGTTTTACTTGCGTCTTTATGCAAAATGTTTCTCAAAAAGTTCTCTCTCTAAAGCTTTAAAGTTTTAGTTCAAATTTTAACGTATTTTAAAAGCTTTCGTATTCACACACATACACAATCACTATATTTTCTGGAAATTTTCAGGCACAGTATAATGTATTTTCAATCAAATGTTTATTATTTTTTTTTAGACAGTTCAAAACTTTTCTTTCATTTCTCCACTTAGATAATGCATAATTTCTCCTCATACACAAGATTTTTCTCGTTTATGCATATTTCACTAAAGTTTTTTTTTTTTTCTCAAAAATTCAATTTTTTGAATTACTCAGTTTTTCTTTGAAACACAAATTGTTGTTTTTGATTCACAGTTCATAATTCGCATCAATTCTGCACACTCAGTTTAAAAACTCAATAGGCACCGGTACGAGGCCCCAAAATGTAGGATTTTAATAAAACACTTTAGACAACTTTAATGAATTGTTTATAATTAACTTTTATTCTTTTTTTAGTCCTTATAATTATAAGCGAAATTAATGTTTAGCGGTGTAAGACTACTGTTAAGTGCAAGAAGATCTTAAAGACTAAATGCTCTTAAAAACTAATCAAAGTTACACAAAAGTTAATCTATGGTTATCTCTGTTTTTGGTACATATTTCAGCCCTTGTCCACTCGTATTTAATGTAGAGTTGTATTTTTAATATTGAACGTACTGCGTGTGTTTCGTCTGTTATGCCCTGTTCCCATATATATATATATATATATATATATATATATATATATAGGAACAGGCCCCAAAATGTAGGATTTTAATAAAACACTTTAGACAACTTTAATGAATTGTTTATAATTAACTTTTATTCTTTTTTTAGTCCTTATAATTATAAGCGAAATTAATGTTTAGCGGTGTAAGACTACTGTTAAGTGCAAGAAGATCTTAAAGACTAAATGCTCTTAAAAACTAATCAAAGTTACACAAAAGTTAATCTATGGTTATCTCTGTTTTTGGTACATATTTCAGCCCTTGTCCACTCGTATTTAATGTAGAGTTGTATTTTTAATATTGAACGTACTGCGTGTGTTTCGTCTGTTATGCCATAAAATAATAAACATTTGATTGAAAATACATTATACTGTGCCTGAAAATATATATATATATATATATATATATATACATATATATATTTATATACATATATATATATATATATATATATATATATATATATATATATATATAGCATAATTTTTTGTACAAACGGTCGTCATACCCCAAGTTAGGTTTTGAAAGGAAAAAGTAGTGCCCACGCCTACCTTTTAATCTAAATATATCTATTTAGTAGATATATAAAATAAAGTTGTGTTAGTTACTACGCTTATAACTTAAGAACCGCTGGACTGATTTTAACGATGCATACAAATTCGGAATTGTCTCCTCTCCGAAAAGGATAATATCAAAAACAAAAATCGCGTATAAATGTGATATACACTGCCTTTACACGGTGACATTTTTTAACCATGCCATTTTTTTTTGTTGGTAAAAGGTGTAGAGAGACAAGGATAGAAGAAAAAATTGCACGATAAGCCACCGCACAGGGTTACATGCCATTTTCTTTGCATTTCTCTTTTTGCTTCTTCCAAAATTTTTATGATTTTGACATTTCATATCGTTTCTTTATTGTAATTTTTGATGCGTTTCTTTTATTGTGATTTGATGTTTTTAGTGATTGAATTGTTTAGTGAATTATATGAAAATTAATTGGAAGTATTAAAAAAGTAAAAAAAGAAAGTTAAAATAAAAGTTAATAATGCAATATTTAACACCTCAATAACTTTTTCCATCATTTCTTCTTTAGATTCACACATTTAATTTTAAATCACTTCCTTATAAATATCTGTTACAAACAATTAGCTCTATACGAAATACTGAATAAAATAAAATGTCAGAAAAAATGCCAAGCACTATTATCGTAAAATGCCACCGTGTAAAGGCGCGAAGATTTACGCAGAAATTTTAAAAGAGAATTGATAAAAATGCCAGCTAAAAATTGCACCGTGTAAAGACAGTGATAGTAACATTTTCATTTTGACTTTTGAAATGTACAATAGTAATGTTTTATTTTGCATGATTTTTTTCCATTTTGACTTACTTTTTTCTAATGTACATTTGTAGTGTTTTTTATTTATATTTTATTTTTGAATTCGAATGTTAATACCAATTTATTTAATTGATTTGTTTTATTGTGTTGAATTCAGTGGATTTTTTTGTGAACAAAATATAGAATAATTTTTCTCCATATAGGGTAAGTGCGCCTAAGTTCGGCATGTCCCAGTAGTCGACAGTTTTGAAATTTAAACTTAAATAACTAAAAATGGAATTGACCAAATAATGAAATAATTGCAAAAAAAACGTGAGCAGTGTTCTCTGCTCTCTTTCTGTAAAAAACAATGAGCTCCGATCATTTATTACTTTTTCGTCAGTGAGTGTCTTCCAACGCGTGCGATAGTGCTTGTTTGTAAAGAAAAAATTAGTGGTGGCGTCAACTTAATAATCGATTTAAGTAAGTGAAATTTAATACTTTTGGAATCAGAAATATTTTATAATAGTAAATGACAGTCTAAAAATCATTTTATAACTTAAAAAGATACATAATCAAGCATTTTTCTCTTATATTATTTAATGCCGACATTAGGAACAGAAAAAAAGAGATTTGCCAGTAGTTGGTAGTAGTTGAAGGGGTGCCGATTACTAGAAAAATATAATGTTTGACCAATTTCACCAAAACTTGAGAAAAGTATTAAAAAATAATCCAAAAACTACTCAAATAAAAAACAGTTTTGATTCGGCAGTTGCTTTTATTTGAGCTTTTTGACCAACTTTTCTAAATTAAGTAGGTTTTTTTTTAAATCAGCTATTTGACGTTTTAGATATCGGTGGCATTTAAAAAAAAATTTTGGTTATCTAGAGGAAAAATATCAATTCACATATTCCAAATATAAGAAACATATTTTTTTATTTAATCTCATTTTTATTTTAATTGAAAATCCATACTATTCTTTATTTTCTACTTATATTTGGTTTAGAATGATAATTAAATAAAACAATATTTAAAAACGAAATTAGTTAATTAAGCTGTGAATTAGTATTACATCATTGTCTTATACTATTTGAAATAAAAAAATATACAAAATAATATTTTTTTTTTTAATGAAATTGCATATGCCGACTACTGACAAATAGACATGCCGAGCATTAGAAAATGGTGCCGACTACTGGCAAAAAAACTACTATTTTGGTAAAATTGCAAATTTTGCCAATTTAATAAAAACAAATTCAATTGTTGTTTATTATTTCGAAAACTAAACATAATAATGAATCTGAACAACTTTATTTTTCTGCAATTGAAAGATTTCACTCAGAATGTCGAAAGATTAAAACGCCTAAAAGTGCCGACTACTGGTACACTTACCTTACAATTTTTCACGAAAAAAAAAAATGAAATAAGTGTGAAATAGGATGTTAACTGATATCTACCCTTCAACTCCAGGGCCTACATCGTGGTTCAGCTGGAAGATGCGAACACATTTGAAAAAACAAAAATGACCGAAAAAGCTTAATGGGGCTCATTTCATGTGACAATAATCCGTCCAATGAGAGCTCAAAATGCAAAATTCTTTGGGAGTACAATCAGTAAAATATCAAATTTAAAGGGTGCAAAATAGTAGAACTAATGGAACTTTTAGTAAGAAAAGGATTTCTATCATTCCAGAAATTCTCCCCAAACATTCCAGATACCTTAAATCGCTTCTGCAGGTCATGAAATCGATCACAACTCACGGATGAGGGTACAACCCGATTTCATATTTATATAGCCATTGTATGATTTGAGCTATTTTTGGCGTCTTGGCCACTTTTTTAATTTTTTGGCCCTTATTTGGCATCTTTGTTTCTAAGAGTGTAGAGAACCTCTTCGCATAAATTTTGAAATTTTCAGAGTACGGTCATTCATCAATTGATTTGACTAAAATATTGTATTTATGCTACCCTGGGGTAGGGAACCATCATTCAGAAATTGCCACATAGGAATTTATTTAAGGAAAGTCCCCTCATTGGAATATCCCGAAGTCCACTTTCACATCTAATGCTAGGAACACAATTGGAGCGAACGACGAATTTTTTCGCGGCGTATGTTCGTCGTCAAAAATAAAACACATATGTGTATATGGAAGTGCACACAATCACGGCAAGGGCGAAAATTTCGTCGGTCGCCGCGAACTCATTTAGCTTTATTTCTATTTATTTCTATACCGGCGAACAAAACAGTACAAGGTGGCCATACTTGTACGAATTTTATGTGTTTTAGTAAATAAAGTTACTTTTTACTTTAAAATTTGTTATGGTCACTCTACTATCTGTTACTCGTATAAAAAAACATAATTAATTTGTTTATTTATTTGTGTACTTGCGCCTGAGTGAAGATGGATATCAGTGAATTTATAATAGAGAAGATGGACATAAGTGAAATTAT